ACTTTGTAGAGTAAGGTAATTTAATATTGGTTTTTCATTTTACTGCAGAAATTGCAATATTTTTAGAATAAAATAAGTTAAAATGTAAAATTTGAATATGTCTCTATTTAATTGGGGTGAAATTGCCTCTATTTTTACAAGGGATGATAAACCATCTATTAAAAGCCCATAATCAATTATCTTGGGCTAAAATGGTCAGAGAAAAGCCTATATAAATATGGGCCACTTACAAAAATATCACAAAAATTAGATGTCTTTTAAAAAATCATATAAAAAGTATTTTAGAAGTAAAAAATACTTTGTAAAGTTAAGTATGTTATTTTTACAATGTCACTTTTATTAAAAATTGATGTTTGTCACTCAAAAAAGTGATAAAAATTCAAAAGAAGTAATAAACAATTAAAAAAAAAGTAACAAATACTAAAAAAGTTACGTAAATTCAAAAAAAGTAACAAACGCATAAAAAAGATACAAAAAAAAAGTAACAGTTCCACTTTTTTTTTTATTAAAAAGTGACACACGATCTACCCAGTTGAGAAAATGGTCAAGTTATGTAGTAACAAGAACATAGTCTACCCACTAAATACTAAACGTCAATCTTTAAAGTTGAATGTTACTATTTTATTATGTCACTTTTATTGAAAAGTTACGTTTGTCACTCAAAAACGTGACAGGAAACTCAAAAAAAGTGACAGACAATAAAAAAAGTTACAGAAATTTTAAAACAAGTGACAAACACTAAAACAAAGTGACAAAAATTTTAAAAAGTGAAAAAACACGTAAAAAAGTGTCACAAAGTCTACCCACTTGAGAAAATGGTAAAGTATTAACCAGACCAAAATAAATCCAATTGAACACATTTGTACAAGAAAAAATGAAAAAAAAAAAAATATGTTAACTTTATCTGTACATCATGTTAATCATGTTTCATTTCAATTGTTATTAGAGAATGATGCATCACTCAAATTTCAAATAGTGATTAAAGCAGTAGGGTGGCAACCTTAGTAATCATACAAGTGAGATAATTTAATTTATCTAAGCAGCCTTAGATTAAAACTTTTAACAATATACATTAAAGATACAAAAAGTCAAAAGAGCCAAAATTTTCTGAAAGTCTAGAAATTTACATGTACTACAACAATATAAACAATGACATCCTATCCCATCAAGAAAACAATTGGTATGCCACCCTTTAAATTGAAGCCTCGAAAGGAAGGGAAAAATGCACTATTCATCATCTCATACACATCCTACAAGAATTCAAGTACCTTTTGTCAAATGACTGGTATACACAATAAATTACTCTTTGATATGCTTTATAGGGAAAAAGTTACCTATATAAAAAGGTAATGCGAACAATTGGACAGTATAATTAATAATTGCATAATAATATGCTACCTAAAAAATATATTGACAAAAAGGTAACTATGAACCAAGTACCCATAGTCAATTCCAAACCATAATGTATGGTATTGCCGTAAATACCTAGACTCTACCTGAAAACTAATTAGGAAACCACAATAATCCACGTCTGGCACATGGTTTGACAACAAGAGAAGCCATCCCATTGCAATCCCCTTTTTGCGTGTCAGAGAGATCATTCATAGAGAAACATGGAATATTATATAAACGTATGATTTAGATTCAAGAGACATAATGCAATACATGTCATCTAGTTTTAATTCAATTCATATTTTCAAACTCAGAAAGAAAAAGTTATAGAACTGGTTTTGAATTTTTCAGTTTATTTAGAAAAAAATATGCATCAAAAAGAATATAACATGAAAAGATTTATCTATCTACGAATTTAAATGTCATATAATTTTCTTCAATAAATGTGAAGTGAGTAAACCCGATGAAACCAACAAGAGGAAGCTTTTTTTGCCACTGATCTCCATCAATAAAATTCAGAAGCACAATCACCAAAGTTTCTGAATTCGTGGATTTTGATTTGGGGCTTCTTGGAATTCTGGGGTTTGGTGGTTGAAGCAGCTTGTGGGTGAGAGTTTCTTAGCTAGAATTTTGGGGTTCTCTATGTGTCGGATGATTCTGAGATGATTTCGGGGATTGAGATTTTGGGATGTTTTGAACATTTATTTAGGGTTAAAATATTTTAATTAGCTGTAAGTGTATTATTCTAATTTATTAGTTTTGGGGGGTAATTGGCCTAATTTCCTCTGTAAATATCTATATGGAAAAGCCATTTTGGATAAAGTTGGCTTAGCCCATATAATTGTTGGATTCAGAATAAATTTGGCCCAATTATGTCCTACTACCTATGTTTTAACACATAATCTTGTTTAAGACTGAAAAGTATAATAAATAATCAACAAAATTTTATTCCTTCATTTTTTTTTCATAAATTTGTACAAAATCATTTTTCCTTCCCTAACAAACATGAAGAAATACTTCAAGTAAAATCCAGCGAAGCTTGTTTACTTGCAATTCGAAAAAAAGATGCTCAAAAGGATTTTATCAAACAATAGGATCAAGAAATATCTGGATTTTTGCACAAAAAACAATTGGATTAGTATCAAATCGCTATCCATCTACGTGTATCTGCATACAAAGAACGCATGTTAGAATGCTCGATTGATCAAACAAGGAGTGGAAAGATAAGTGGACATAGTTTTGACTAAGTAAAAAATTAGACAGTACCTTGAATTTGAAACCAATTTTAGAATGTGCTTAATTTTTGCCTTTTGAAGGATTATGTACAAACTGATTCTTACTAGGAATATGACAAACTTTCAAATCAAAACACTTAAAACGGTTTTGAATTTTCAAACCACTTTTTTCGGTTTGATTCTATTTGAAATCACGATTTAGCAACAAAAAAAGTAACATATATTGAACAAGATAAATTATAAAAATTAGTCTAGATCTCACTAAACTTGACATCAAAACTTTGCATAAGCACGACTGCAGAAAATATAATTTGACATAATCCTAGCTTACTATTAAAAAAAAAAAAGGGTTACTTAGTAGGACAATAATGAATATTTATTCAACCATATGAGAAAATTATCCTGCGAATACTTTCAAATAAGCAAATCAAGAACATAAAAATAAACATGCTATTCTAATTGTTGTAAAAACACAGTTCAACTAAAGATTTAAAAGTGCCTCACAAATCAAAATGAAACCACAATAATAAACTTAAAATCTAGCAGCTAAGTTAGAGATTAAACAAAAAATTTAAATAAAGATTTAAGAGGTCTTACACAAATTGGAACAAAACAACACATCTGGCAATAAAATACAACACCGCAATTATCAAAAATAATAAAAAAGAATTGGATAAACAGACTTAAAATTGAACCAAAATTCGAGAAAATTAAGGAAAATAAACAATTTGAGTTTTAATTAAAATCTACATTTAATTGTCTACTCGATTGTTGTGGACGGGCGATGAACGTGATCAATAGCAGTTGTTCAATACTTTGCCAATTTGATGTTCTTGCATTCTCAATTGCGATGAGTGTGAGGTAATTGGGTATGATTTATTTAATTATTTGAGTTGAATAATTATCTAATTGTGAATTGAGTTTAATTAGATTGCATATTAAGCCCCCGTTTGGGCCACCTTATTTTTTCATTAAAATGAAAAATATAACCGTTATCTATCACATCAACATTTAAATTTAAATTTTATATTTCTTGTATGGACCCTAATAACGGCTATATTTTTCATTTTCATTCTACAATAAGATGGCTCAAATAGGGCCTAAGTTTAATTGGGGGTAGAGTCTAATATGTATTTTATTTAAAATTGTGATGTGTTTAGTTTTAATTAGATAATTACTAATATTAAATTTATTTTTATAAATGATTTAACAATTTGAAACTTTTTGCAAAAAAATTGAAATCTAAACAAACTGCAGTAGTTTGGTTCGATTTAAAACCAAAAATTTAACGGATTCAGGTGGACCCAAATCAATAGTTTCGAAAAAAGTGGTTTTGATTTGATTTTGTGATTTGACGATTTTGTTGTTCTACCCTAATTCTTGCAACATTTGGGTGATGTGTGTAGTTAAGATATATTTGTTAGCTAGTAACGAACAAGAATTTATGAATCATCTATATTTGCCTTGTGTCAAATAATCTTCGTAGTTTACCTACAATTCTTCGAATATCAGATCAATTTGAGTCAATATGGGCCCCCGTAGTTACGAGATAATGAGAACGAGTGGTATACATTGCACCCATCTATTCATTTCACTTTGTAGGTTAAGTTACTCGCTTTATGATATATCACTTCAATTTTGTCGAGGTGGCATTTGCCATGCCCCAACTGTAATGACTATACTATACTTGTGGCTACACATGCTCTATCATGCCTTTTGTGAGGACTTGAGACAATAGATTACACTACTAAAATGGCTTTACTACATGTTTTGGCCTCTCTGAATATCCAAGACGACATATGGTACCCATTTATTGAATTGGTATCACGCATCACTCCATCTCAAATAATGATATAATACATACAAACTTTTTGTTCACGTATAATCCATACGTTCTTCTTCACATTTCCACAATTATTTAAAAACACATAGCTAGAGAAGCACATCAAAGTGTGTGGAGAAGTTTCCAACTTAACACTTTACGAATGTTAATTCTAAATTCGTGACCTGTTCAACATTATCACGATTCTTGATTGAGAAAAATTATCTTTATCGTCAATCTTCTTAACTGATAAAGAGAATGACCAAAAGTGCAACACATTAATGTGTCTTAAATCTTTAGATCCATGACTACTAATCTACTATGGTAAAATATACACAATAAAATTCGATTTGGATACTTCCCTCCAAAAACCCGCTTCCCCTTTTCCCGGGTCGGACAAGAACAAAAGACCAACGAAAATTATTATAAATAAATTTAACAATAAATTATAAGTTCTGTCTTCAGTGACTCGGAAACCCCGTTTAAATTTTTCAAAGCCCAATTTTTCTTTCAAAAATGCTCTTCGTCGGCGCACCTACTGACTGACTCACATGTCACATTCCGCCACCGCTTCGCCTACGCTCTCCACCACCACCTCCCCCAATCATTCCCCCTCTCTCCATCACCCCACCGATTCCATGTCTGACGACGAGAACGACGGAGCTCCTCCATCTCCTCCTCTGCCAGTCACTACAAAAACCGAGTCTTTATCGGAGACTCCGAAATCGGAGGGTCACACTTCCGCCCGGACCCCGACGCTCCCCGTCAGGGAGGATTGCTGGTCGGAAGAGGCGACTCGGACGCTGATTGAGGCGTGGGGGTCCCACTACCTGGGGCTTAACCGTGGGAACCTCCGGCAAAAGCACTGGCAGGAGGTGGCCGACGCCGTCAACGCCCTCCACGCCCACACCAAGAAGCTCCACCGCACCGACGTCCAGTGCAAGAATCGCGTTGACACCGTCAAGAAGAAGTACAAGATCGAGAAGACTAAGGTCGTTCAATCCAACGGCCGATACGCCTCCACGTGGCCTCACTTCGACAGCCTCGACTCCCTCATCGGAGATACCTTCTCGAAAGCTAATAGTGTCCCTAGCAATGGCCATAAGAAAAACCTCCGTCGAAGAGTTTCTCTATCTCCGGAAGTTTCTACCTCGCCGCCGCCGGCGAAGACAAAGATGACCGAGTACCGGAAAAGATCGCCGGAGTCGATTACTCATCTGCCCAAGGTGCCATGGTCGGTGCCGGTGGGGCCAAGGTCAAAGCGGCCCTTGAATGGGAATTTGACCGAGAGGAATTTCTCTGTGATGGCCGCGGCAGCAGCAGCAGTCGAGGCCAAAGAAGAGGAGGAAGATGAAGATGATGAGGATGAAACATGGCTCAGGCAGCTGCCGGTTGTGGGGAGGAAAAAGCGGAGGCTGGTTGAGGAGGCAGAGGGGTCCGTATGCGACGGGTATGGGAGGTTAGCCAAGGCCATATCGAGGCTAGGGGATATATACGAGAAAGTGGAGTCGGCCAAGCAGAGGCAGATTGTGGAGTTGGAGAAGCAAAGAATGCAGTTTTCCAAGGATTTGGAGATTCAGAGAATGAAAATTTTCATGGATTCCCAGGTTCAGGTTGAGAAACTGAAGCGCATGAAGAACCATTCACGAAATTGTAAGTATTAAAGGCGATGATATGTTTGGTTTTTATAATGATGCTTATACGCGTTCAACTGATTAAGGGATGCTAATATAAATATATGAACACTTTTACTACGTTCTGTGCATGTTGATTTAGTGGTGCTAATTGCAAATTGTAGCATGTATGCTTTATGAGTAGGATCGTGGAGCATGTTTTGACTTTTTGATAAATTTCGAATGCATATATCTGATCTACGCATGGCCATTTGTTTATCATACGATGGTTTGTGCTGGGCGATTGAAAACTGATTTATCATGCTCTATGGGTTTCTCTTAACTTTCATTTTTGTGCCATACGTACTGTGTTATGGCTTTGAATGTGCATTTCTGCCTTTTCATCTGCTTCACAATGCGCTTGGCATGGAATGATGCCTGAGTAAGATGATATTCATAATACCTTTACAGGGTTGAGATGTGCTATTAAAACCAGAGATGGATTAAACATTCAGTTATAGCCCACCAATTAAAATGAGCATTTGCAAATTTTAAGCACCTCGTGGCCTTGAAATCTTTCAGTTTTCTGACCCTCGCATTTACATGCTAAGTCAGCGTGTGTTACCACTTACCAGCAAAATAATGAAGTATCGCCTCAACCCTAAAATAAAATAAAGCAAGAAATATTTCAAGAGCACAAGAGAATGAATGGTTAGGATTCACATGATACAATTGTTCACATTGTTTATAGACATATGTACAAAACTCCCATATGTCTATATGCAAAATATAATCGGTTAGGGCTGAACATGGTCCACTTTGGTTCGGTTTTAAAGAGAACCGAATCGAGCCGAACTAGAATTTTTGAATATTTAGTAAGTGGAACTGTTAAATCTAAATTTAATTATGGAATCTTCGGTTCGGTTCTATTCGGTTCCGTATCACAATTAAATTTTTTAATATTCACAATAACACTACAATAATCCAATTAACGACATGTTCAATCTTAGCTTTTGCAAAAACACTATATTAACTCTTACAAAATAATTTAGTCTAGTTTAAAAATATACAAATAATAGATTTAATAAGATTCATTTACCAATTTATACAAATTACCCAAAAGTAAATAATAACATTAAAATATCAATGATTCCAACTCATTGATTCCTTTGCTTCAAGCTTTCGAATCTACATAAAATATGACATATAATTAAAAGTTACATAAATAAAATATTTTTAAGTATTGCTAGTACTTATCAACCATTTAAATTAATTATCCATTGCTTGACTTATCGCACTAAGAAACTTTACAAGAAATAATTGAAAAATGACAATTAACAAACATAAATAGATAAAAGCTGTCCAACTAATAAGATTTAATATGGGAAAATATAATATATATTTTATGACCTGTCTTAATATTCTCGTAGAACTCTCTCTTTAATGCAAACTCTATCTTGGGAAACTCAATTAATTAGTTGGCAAATGAAATAAGAAAATGATATTTTTGGGCTCAATTAATTAGGTGACAAATTTATTTGATTTTTTTTTTTAAAATTGGCTTATTTAATATAAAAAATAAAAAATTAAGGAGATTCAATTATTGGTCTAGAACGGAGAGTTGAACTAAACTTGATAGCTCTTGATTTTGATACCCGTTCTGGTATTTAGTTTAAGAAGAACCGAACAGTTTGGTTCGTGTGTTTTGTTCAGCCCTATAATTAGCCATAGGTGCTAGATGTCTCTAACAAAATCTAGTGCAGGTAGCTTGCACAGTTTCTAGAACCTTTCGTCCCTGCATGCATTGCGTGAGATTTATCGACATCCAGTTCATAAAAAGAACTAAATTGTTGTTGTCGATTATGACTTTATATAATAATAAAAAAATGAAATTACGAAAGACCTTTTTCTATGGAATTCAATCGACCATGGAATTGGACATAAGCAATAAGAAATAGATGCGGATAAAGCAGAACTAAGGGTAAATAAAAAAAAAAAACTAGATGTCATATGCAACACTTGTTCTATACATGTCTTTCTTTAGGTAATGTTTGGTTGCCTCATTCTCGCCCAGCATTGTCGAGTGTAGTACAAGAAGTGGAAAGAATGTGTATTTTCGTAGTCCCTCCAAGGGGACCATAAGTTGTCTTTTATAGCCAAAAATAGGAGAATTGGCTGACTTTGTGACGTCGTCTATAGTGTTAGATGGGCCTCCGATTTCAGCTATAGTGCCTTCCTTATTTGGTGTGTCAAAATCATTAAGCTAAAAAGGGCCTTCTATTGGAGGATGAGGTCGGCCCGGGCAATTCATCACGATGTTTGGGATGGGCGCTGTTATTCTTCATCATTGCAACACTGTGATTGGTTGGCTTAGGGGTGCTTAGGTCAGCCATGCAACATGCCGTAAGGAGGTTGGACGAGGTAAAGCGATGACGTCATCTTAGTCAAATCGTTAATTATGGTGTCTTATAATAACGGCGGGTTTTTGCCGAGCTGTTAAATGGAAGTTCCCGAGCTGTTTATCAGGACGAGGTGAATGTTTAATTACAGAATTCATTTTAGGGGTGTTACTTAGCGACTGATCCTCCTTCTATTAGTACTCTCATGCCAACACATTTAAAGGTGGTAGTTAGCTTTGTCTTCAGGCCATCATTCTCTGAAATGCCTCTGTATAAAGATGAAACATGCTGAATTGCTGAAAAAAACATCATACTTGTGAGATTTTTTATTATGGTATTTGGCTTGTGTCATATCAGTCACTAGGAACCTCAAACATATTACTAAATTTTTATTTCTAGCTCTTGCCACTTGCATTCGCTTTGTTGTCCTGTCGAGGTTAATTTAGGGTTCATGAGTTTAGTTTGACTGAATAATTTTGTTCGAAATGGCCTTTTTTAAGGTTCATTGAATGCATTTTATGCATTCTATAGACATTCACGCACATTGACTGGGGAAATGCCAAGCATTGGCTTTATGTAAGTGCGTTTGGTGTCCATATGTATGTATATAGAACTTATTTATGGTTAAAATATATTGGCGTATGTATTCTAATTGGCTTCTCTCTATGGATGTCTTTGTTCTATATATTTTTTACACTCTTTGCTCCAAAACACTAATTTTCAGTTTCCCATCCAAATTCTCTTCTAAGTAATATTCTCCACACCATTTCTGTGACATGAACCACACAAAATAAACCCACAAAAATCTCTTTCTAGCACCGTGGACTTGGATTTGGCTTCAAATGTGAGTACAATCTCTATTATGCCCCTGTTTGTCTACCATTATTCAATGAAAACGAGTTTTGATATAGTGAATTGTTGAAGAATGTGTAGTTTAAAAGTAGGAAAACGTTTGGGTTTATGTGCAAAATATTTTATTGGGAAAATCTGTAGTTAAAAATGAATTTGAGAAAACAAGAGTTTAGAAATAATGGATGACAACCAATGGCTATTCGTGGAGAGTGGGGTAATGCCAATTTTTTGTTCTGATTTTCCATGTTTGGAGACACCATAAGTACATGTTTTTCGTTTCATTAACCATGCCAACTGCCCTACGGCACGAGATACGCCACATTTTTGTCACAGATAGTAGTTTGGGCTCAAGCATTCTTTGCTAACCTATCTGTAGTCTTTTATGGGCTTTGAGTAATAGTAGTTTATTTTGATTTTCGATGCTATTGCTGCATTCTAGTGTTTTAAGAGCACCTCCAACGGTGGTGTAAAATTGAGTGTAAATTGGTATTTCCAAAACCACTTTTGCATCTTCATTTACATCCCGACGGATCTAAATTGAAAATTTGCTCTAATGAGAAGATCTAGGGGTGTAAGCGGTCCGATTTTTGCGGTTTTTGACAAATTTTCAAACCAAACCGTTTTGACCGGTTTGAGAAAAGCTCAAACCTAAACCAAACTGTTTTGACCGGTTTGAAAAAAACTCAAACCTAAACCTAACGGTTTGGTCCGGTTTTAAACCGTCGGTTTCGCGTATATTTTTTTCCTGTCTAGTATCTACTTTTATGCCATTAATTCAATATATATTTATATCTTACTAGAAATAGATCTAAAACAAATTAAATATATTTACTATAAATTTAAATACCAACAAAATAAAAGTAAAATCACAAAAAACTAAAGTATAGTTTTTTATTCGCTCTTTAGACATTTTAGAATAATACTTTACGATAAAGATACAATACAAGTTCATTAAAATAAATATAAAGTCCAAAAAAA